GCACCGTTAATCTTGTGGCCTTCTCTCGCGTGGCTTTGCTCGATCGAGAATCTGATCTACCTATCCGATGACTCCGCTGGTTTCACGCCCGAACGATTGCATGGATCGATACACCTTTTCTTGTTCTATCGTTTCTTTGAGAAATTTTTTTAATTCGTTGAAAGCTATCGAATAATTTTATAGTGAAAACGATCCAGAGAGAATTGAAATCTGTTCGGATCTTATATATTAAAAATTATTAGTTTATCATTATATATTGAATTAAACTATTTGTTATATTGAATGAAATTATCTTTCTTCTAACAATATAAGAGAAGAGAACAAAGAAAAATCACCAAATTAGAATAATAATAGTAATCGAAAAAGAAATTCCTTTCTTTCTTTTTTATACTTTAATATATAATTTAGCATAATAATAAACTGTACAAAAACAAAAAATTAAATTGTGCATATTTATATGTAAAATGTCCATTATGATCATATATATATATGTACGTCTTATTTACTTATTTAAATTATTTTTTTAAATCTCTAAACTACATTAAACTATCAAAAACTATCTTCATGTAGCAATTATTAATAAAATAAAATTCTAAGGTATAATGCCTCGTATGTTGTCATAAAGCACTTACGTTTCTTTAACTTGCTTTAGTAATTAAAGTTATAATCAGCGCGTACTTTTTTGCATTCGCGTGATTAACGTAGAGATGAAAGGAGAAAACGTGCTTACAATTACATCCTCAAAATGCGTTTCTTGAAACATTTTTCTTCAAAAATTTCTTCTCTTCCAACTGCTTATAAAGTGATTGATCTATACTGCCGTAACGCTTTTAAAACTCATAGTGGCGGCAATCCAATATGGCCCTTAGGGTAGCGGGAACTCTGACGGATCGCCGGCGGAAGCGACGATTTTAAGTGCGGACTGAAAGACATATTTCGGGACAGTGTTCTATATTTACACGCGGGTATACGCACCTATATGTACGAGAGAGCGTAGAGCGATTTACGTGTCTGCGACTCTCTCGACATTCCACGCAACTTTCTTTGTGGTTCCCCAGGGAATGTATGTGCATGCGTGACTCTCGCACCACACGCCGCTCTCTGGAATCCCGCTTACGGAATGCAATGCGAAACTTAGTCTCGCGACTTCATCTTTGACCACCGACCAGCAACATTTGTCGATTTATGTGGCGCTTAAATTACGTCGCTGTCGCTTAACATTACTAGCGCCGCTGACCACTCATTTCAGAAGCGTGTTATTTACCATTGAGCTGTCTATTTGTAATAGTATATATATAAAGATATCTTACAAAAGCTCTTGCAAAAAGACATATATTATTTTTTGGGAAAGGTTTATTATTTTTAGGGAAATGTTTAAAATTTTTTTAATAATGGCTTTAGAATTCATGAAGCAAAAAAGTATTTATAATTAACAAAATTAATTACTTGAGTTAATAAAAATTTTTTAATATTTAAACAATGTTTCTAAAAAAAAATAGAATTACTAAAACATGTAATACAATAAATGAATTTTTATATAAAAAAAAATATAAATCAATAGGAACATATTTCGCTCGTAATTGTCATATCGATTAATAAACGCATAAGAAAGAATGACGGTGGACACAGTTTTTCAGAGATCACAATTCTATATAGTAATTTTTGTATCATAAAAGATGCGAAAAAATGTGTGAGAATACAACGTGATTTATTAAAATTTGATCTAAGTTTATTCACGTGTAGCACGCGAGAAGAAATAATTCTAACAATAAATGAAGAATGTTAAAATATATGTATGTTAAAATTCAATTAGCCTTGCAAGAAATGGCTAAAGGGAATACTGCAGCTATAATTCAAGGAAACACCCGTCTTAGCAATCTGTGACAACATTCCGCACAGTTTCAGCTCGGATGTGCCGTTTTCAGTTTAGTATCATTACGCGTAATTTATAATGATCACAAGGTAGGCACTTCACTTGCTTCGTAACCAATACAGGAAACTTATCGTCATTGCATATGAAGAGAACTGACGTCCAAATATTCCAAACTCTCAACATAAATTTAATTCATAACATATGTATATAGGACTGCATATGATCAATCTCAAGTTTACTTACTTTGAAAGTTTAACCCTCTCTATTGTATTTTTGATAAGATAAGCATAATTTTATTTGACTCTGTTGTACAATAGTACGAAGTTCAAAAAGTAATTTATTCAATTATTTTATTAGTTTCCACAATGTTATTTATTTAAATTATTTAATTATTCTTTAATTAAATAATTAAATAAATAATTAAAGAATAATTAAGTAAAGAAAAGATAATTTTTTATCTAAATGAAGCTATACATATTTTAATTGCACGCGACACCATTATTTTATAAAATCTCAATTTTACAAGTACATGCTTTATTTTTACAAAATTATAAATCAGAAATTGTAACTTCTTAGTATTTAACTATGGATGGATAAAATATTGACATAAATTAAATAAAACTATACAAAATTACATAAAAATCTTATTTCCTAAAATTCCAGTTATATAACTTTCTTCCTCATTTCTAGTTTTTAATTATTTATAACAAATATTTTTAATTGAATAGTAAACCCACTGTGTAAGTATTATCTTTCGAAGCAATTTATACGTACCGTTAACCAACCTTTCTCGACAACTTGCACATGTCGCGAGTTCTCTATGCGACGTGCCCTGTTCTCCTGAGCTGGAATAACTTGACGCCACGAGTCGCTAGTTAGAGGGAGAGACCCCCTCGGGATCTTAGAAATTCATTCGTGAAACATTCCACATAATTTCGCGTCGGCAACGCTGTTTTCGGCGCATACCGTCGCGTCGTGCATTGCACGCGATTTAGAATACTCGGCCCGCAAAATCGTCGCCTATATATTGTCAGGATTATTCGCGACAGGTCCTGCCGCAAGAGCAAACATGTATCATGCTCTTCCGTAGACTTCAAGCTCGCATATATTGCAACAACTCGACATGGAAATTTATGTGAGTTATAATTCACGTACATTGAATCGTGCTTTTACGTTCAGCGGATTTTTCATTCTTATTTATTATAATACCTGAGATATAAGAATTTAAATATGTAAAAGAAAAATTTTAAAGCCTATAATATTTATTAAGATTAAACATAGGAATAATTGCTATCTAATCTTCTTTGTTACTTTTTTCTTTGTTATTGTTATAAAAAGTGCAAAAGGAATCGATTAAGACAATATTTTTAAGTAAAAAAATCGATTGTTATTGTTTTTGTTGATTTAAAGTATTTACTTTAGAAAAAAAGGAGGAAAGATGTAAATATTGACGTCTGCACGAAAATAAGAATTCCTGTGAGTGAAAATCAATAAATACGTATTATAGAAATCCTAATTGCGATTGATCTTTATAATGATCTCGTGTGTTTTAAGTGCAAATTATGTGGCGGATAGCCAGATTTCTGATGGTAATGGCGCAATTATAACGTGGCATTCGTTTAGTGTGGCTTCTCTCGTTACCTAATAGTAATAAGCGTTCATGCACCATCATCGCGGATCGTTAAATATTGTCCACTGTGTCATGCTAATGTCCGCATCTTAATAGAACGAGGATTCAGACGCTAATTGTTATTGCGCTCATTATAATTGTCTCTCATTGAAACAATTCGGAATGTTCCTGTGTTCGTAATTAATAGTCGTAAAACGAGCTGTATACAACTCGTAGTCTCGTGAGAGTGGATTAAAACGGAAATCGATTGAGACAGATAAAATATCTGCCCGATCGACGAGGTCTTAATCCGGGCAATGATCCGTTGCGTGCGGCTGTTAATTGGTCAGCCCTCAATGAGCTTGATATTACGGATCCGGCGATAAGACTGCATGTGCAGACTCGAGGAATGTACGATGTAAAGGATGATATTGTGTGCAAATTATGTAAGATAATAACTCAGGTCTTTGTTAAAATTGTTTAAATTTAATTCGTCTATTTTATTTTTGAAAAAAGATATTGATGAAATATTATTAAACGTATTATTAATATTTTAAAAACATTTCAAAATGCATATTTAAAATTCAAATTTAATTCGTTAATTTTGCCGGAAAGAATAAAGATAAAATTATTGCAATAATTCTAAGCACATTAGAAACGGTGTTTTTGAAATTTACTATTTTGTTATAATATTTAATACGGATATTAAATTTAATGCGAATATTTCAAAAGTTTATAGGTGTGTTTATTAATAAAGAATACTAAATTGTAATAACTTTTTATAAATGTCACTTTATTCATTTTTTCTTTCAAAATTGTTTTAATATACTTATAAAAGTATTGTGCATCTATGAAAGTATTTACAAATTATACAAATATTTCTGTCTTAGATAATCAATGATTGAAAAATCTACTACGAGAACCCCTTATATTTTGTTCTATTAAAGAAAGAGAATTTAATTATCATTTATATTTTAAAGATTAACACGGAAAAAGACCTTGGAGGAAAAATGCTAAATGAAAAATAACATTATTTACTAGCATCTAATTCGGCCCCACCTGTGCTTGAGCGTGCGCGCGCGCAAGTACTTATGAAACCTGCGCGGCACGCGGCTCGGCGACCAGTCCGATTCCTCGTCGCAGTGCGATACGGTCGATAGAAGCAAGCCACGTAGTGTAGCCACGGTGGTTGCATTGAATTGCAGTAACGAATGCGACGCTACCGCATGGCATATGAGAGTCACCCCTTGGCACTACGGATCGCTTTACGCGCTTCTCCCCTCGACATTAGAACAAGCCTGTTCGTACTTCATTCTATCCGTGGATGCTGAAGAAGTTACAACCACGTGAATGAAACGTTACAATTAATTTCGGAATGTTTATCGTGGAGTGTTTAATATTGCCGTAAAACCTTACCTGTATGTGGTGCAAAGAATAATTTTTATACTATGAAAAAATTATGTGTTTACAGTGATTTATACACAATTATATTAACTGTTTTACACGTGTATTGTAATTGTTGACTGAAAGTTTTTGCGGAAACCTTTTATAATTTTATTTTTCTTCGCAATTCCATCGAATCTTGTTTATTGTCGACCTTGAAGATATAATAGCCGGAGATTTTACGCATTTATATGAGATTCTAAGGCTCATTGCGAATATGGAAAACAAAGATGTTTTCAGGATGTAAAGAATCTTTAACGAGACCGCAGACAATTGTCGAAGAAATCGGAACCGATTCATCACAGTCACATGAATCCTTTTATTTGCAAGTTAAACAATTGAGATATACAGTATAGTAAAGATTTTGTACAGATCAGTCGCTTTAGAATTGGAACCACGAAGTGGAACCGTAACAACCGCGATACAAATCTAAGGCAAAAAGAAGGTGAAAGAGCTATTGAAAAAGTATGAGAAAGAAGTACAAATAAACACGCTTGAACGAACATCAGCCAACTATAACGTCTCATACAAACAGAAGCGCCACAATTACCGTGACATTGGCTACTGCTGTGAAAACTGTTTACGTATATCAAGCCAGTATTGGTATTAGGACACTTCACGAATTCACGTCACGATTCGAAGAATCGTGACACGAAGAATCACTGACCTCAGGAAGAGGCACGTTCCTCTCTTATTTTTAGTTCCGGATTCAATGATAAATTGTGATTTGTATCAAAAGATTCACACACCGTATGTATCTGCTGAGTCAGGATAATGCCGTCTATGTCAAAATTTCTAAATTTCTTTTCCATAAGATATCATGAAAATAACTTCGAGTCAACTTGAGGAGCATTACGTGCATGTGCTACAAAGTGCAATTTAAAGGGTGCAAGCTCGAAGACGTGACTGTAGCGACATTTGCGAAGTATCGATCGACCTGCATCTTGAAGAGGATGCTCCCTTCGGTCTTGTAGGAGCGAAATTCTCGTTGTAGTCACGTGGAAAGCAACGATAGACGCAGCGAGGAGAGAAACGAGGAGAGAGATATTTTCCAACGAGGGACATCACGTCGCCGTCATGGAAAATCGATTCGCCGCCACCGACCACCCCGCCACAACCACCCGCCGCAGTGCAATGACCTCCAAACCGGGAAGATCCTATAGCGTGAGGTAAGCAGCTTCGTAGTAGAAATCGAAAGGGTCGCGAAAGGCGGAAGAGAGGGCGGGAAAGTGATGAGTTTACTGAAGAAAGAGCTTGGCCCCCTCGTAGAAAATAGCCACAGCTTCACGCGGCATCCCCGACGTCTACATTCACGATGTTTTCCTTTATTTTATTTCCGGCCTTGGCTTTCTAAGAAACGTTTTTAAACTTACGGCCTCATCACTTCTTTTTTTTTTTTTACAAAAGAAGAACGTCAGCTCCTCTTGTGAAGCTGATATTTCACACATGATCTCGTTAGAATAAATGAGAAGATATAGTGTGTTGTATCAGTATTTTGTTTTATCGTGATACTAATTATTCATGTATATAATATAATTGATCTGTTATATTAATTACTGTGAATATTTTACAATAATAAATTGGTGTGTTAGATTTTTTAAGGACCTTTTGAAAAAAATCGCATTTGATATTTGAAATTTGTTCAAGAAAATTATCACTTTTCATATAGCTATGAAAAATGCATTTTTTTTTAATTTCTTGAGGGTAGAAAAATTTGAAACGAATCATATATGTGTACATATATGTACTGTGTTTTAATTGCTTGAAAAGATAGTGATTGTAAGTTAAAGTTTTTCATTTATGTATTGTTCATTTACATATTGTTTCATTTACATATTGTTTAATTCACATACTTAACACATTAAAGAAAAAAGTAATTATAGGCTAAAAATAAAAATAACTTTTATTCACACTAATTTCGTACAGAGAAATAAAAGATTTGCCAATTAAAGATACAGGAATTTCTGCTGCAATTTTTGCAGATCTGTTTCACTTTTGTTCGTATTTTTTTCGATATCAAGGTTTAAACTGGGTGTTCTAAAGCTGAAAGCAAGGTCATCTTTGCGCAGAACGACGCAAGCACGATACAACAAAAGTATCTTTTAAATGTAGCGTCCATAATTTACATGTGCGTAAGCACGCTTGTCACCAAACATTGATTCTACATTTAGAGTGCATATAAAGAGGCTGTTCTTACTGTACGTTTAATGCTAAACACAGCTGTCTGATTTTAAATCGTTGTATACGATACATCCGAAATGACGAATACATCTAAATATATTTCGGATACGCACAATGATCAAATAAAATTCAAAATTACGCGATCGCATTTAACATTAAATGGATGGTGAGAGCTAAAATTATACATATCGTGAATTTATCATAGAATCCATCAGAGTTTTAAATTCTATTTATTCAGCAACATCACGTTTAATGTTAAGGGGCACGTACTTTAAATGCTGAATATGCAGTCGGAATACAAAAGCAAAGCGTTCGTAGAACTAATGTGCAGTTTCTGATCTGGCGCGTCACATCGTTCCAGAAGAATTCGCCGGCGGACGAATTACGAGATAACTGACAGGCATAGTTATTATTCCAAACTCAGAGACTTCTTTGTGCGCGAATGCGCTTCAGTCTTTGAATTCCCTTGGAAATGAAGATTGCCCCTCCTCGCCCTTTATCGGAGATTTCTCTACGTAAATAAACATAAAAACGTCTCGTGCATCTGTATACCGCTTGCGAACAGTTTATATATAGCGTTACATTAAAATAATCTGTGATCGTCGAGAGAAGAGTAATGTTTTTCTTTTACTCACGGATTAAATAATTACTATGTTTGATATATGTAAAAAATGCGAAAGTAGATAATAAGTTGGCCTGCGAAGCACTAATTATAATATTAATATATCATATTAATATTTCAAACAAATTAACGTACTAATTAAATGATAACATGGTTTTAAAAAAATAGTTATGGCTCAATGAATTAATACAGAAGAACTTATTCTTTCATGTGAACTTATTCTATCGATTTTCTTCATGCCTGATGATTGATTATTAATTTTTTCCTACTTGGTTGCAATGTGACTTTGCAGTTTTTCACTTTCTACATTATGTTTTACCTTAATGATTAAGAGGATATTATAAATACGAGTCAAAAATGAGCGACATTTGTCAAAAATTGCTTTTAGTAATTATTTTTCTATGAGTTTAAATTATATTAAATCATTTATTTCGTTGTTATAAACATTTTTTCATGGCCTTTTGTATTATTGTTTGTTTTATTATACACATAGAGGCATTTAAAAAAAATATTTTTCTAAAAATATAATATAATTATAATTATAATTATTAAATTCAAATATTAATGTTAACACGTACATGTTAATAATAATTTTAATGATAATTGTTGTAAGTATAACTGATTACATGAAATTTTTTACACGTTTGCGGAAAATTTTAGTAAGATGATTGATTGATGGGATGTTGCATAAAGATGACTTAAGAAGTGGCGGATAACAATTTATCTTACCTACCCACCGATCGAAATTGTTTGATGGTTGCATATGAAGTAACTATAGCTGGGAGATCGTTGCAAGAAAGATCGTTTCTCATTAATCGAACGTTGCACGATTTTCAACGCCAATCTGTGTAGCCCAGCGTGATTAAATCTTGATTCGCCTTCATCGAGTTTACTTATTGTTTCCGAGTGCTCCAGAGTGCTAAATTACCTACTTTCGAGGCCTTCGGAGCGATTTAAGAGGATTTCATTGTAACCGGTAACAGCAAGTTTCCGTCGTTTGTTCAACGCGCGCGACGATGTGAATATTTTGCAAACGAAACGTTACGCAACACGATTGAATTCGAAGATGTCATGCATATAAAAAGTAACAAGCATGAAAGCAAGAGGAAAATAAATAGAAATTCGAAAATGAATAGAATACCAAATTGGATCGCTGTTTTTCACGACAAGAATAAATTACTGCAGTTATTCTTAAAGATGGGCATGAAATGAGAATTAAAGTGTTTTATAAGAGAAGTTACGAGGACGTATGTATACATAATAAAATGAAGTATACCACGAAATTACACTTGTCAGTGCTAATAAAGTCTTCCTGTTTCTCTTCTATAATTAATCAATAAAAACATGTATAAGCAAATATCAATTACCATAAAATTGAATTTTTACAAATTGCGTTGCAATCTTCTGAGAGACGTGTAAGCGCATCAATTTAACGTTTAAAGCAATGTGCTATTAATCGCACAAGTGCGTTATATCTCGTACGTTAAAAGGTACATGCCGCAATTACGTAAAAAGGAAAGGACGTGTAACCATGGGGATTGTCGCACATGTGAATAATTATCTCGAGATTGTCGTATTAATGTGTTCTATCACGTTCGAGACACTTTTAGTTTGAATTTGGTATACAGAGTGTTCCTCTAATTGCCATAATTTTTTAGATGCTTTTGATGGTTTAATAACGAAATGTTTCTAACAAAAGTTTGTTGGTTTCTAATAAAGAATTACGTACGAAAAATTGAAAGTTCATTTTTTAATAAAAAATCAAAGTCAAATTTTTTTAAAGCGAACCTATAGTTTTTTCCATATTTTTATTGTATATAAAAGACAAATTAAAAAAATTTTTTAATGCAATTCTTTGTTATAAATTAATTAATTTTTGTCAAAAATATTTTATTGTTAATCTACCGGAAATATTAAACTGTGGCGATCGATTCGAGGAACATCTTGTATACGGAGAATCCAGAAAACTCCTCTAATTAATTATAGATGTTTTGATCAATCTGAAATTAATTTGCTAAATATCACGAAGTCTTTGTCAATAGTTTTTTAGCTATATACAATTGAAAATAAAGGATTTTTAAGTCTTAAATAATAAGATCTAATTAATTGTTTACATTTTTAGATATAATTTAAATCTAATTTTTAATTAAAAATGTCAAAACTTTTTTTTATTGTATTGAATTGTAAAACATTAAACTATTATAAGTGCTATTCTTTATAAATTTGCACTATTAATATTAAGGCTAAATTAATAAAACACATCGTAGTTTTGTGTTCAGGTCTGTAATATTTTAAATTAAAATTTATTTTCTTATTCTGCGTGAGTGATGAAGTGGAAGACGAAAGTTGAGGCGTATTCGATGAGAATGCTGTGGTGGGAAACTATTATGTGGAAAAGATCGAATGCAGTTAAAGAAGTTAATGGATGGACAATGATTTTATCTAATATCGTGTATTTTTATTATCATTGAGTATTATTACATCAGATTTCAAAATAGCTCTCGTAACGAAAGGTGTGGCGTGGGAAGCTTAAGCTCACTGGTCTTATGTATTCATCTTGCGTGTCTTTTACTCGTTATTATTATGCTATGTGTTTCGCATTATCGTTCATAGCTCATCGCCGGCGCGTTGCCCTTATTGTCTGTAACCGAGAGTTAATCTTCCGATTCGCTGATAGGAATACTCGAACTAATGAATACGGCATGACGTAGCTTTTGAAGAGCATGAACATGAATAGAAAATCAATTTCATTTATCTAAAGTTTCATTATTAGTAGTACACATTATTTCATGTATGTGTCATAATAACAATATATGTGGATATAATACTAATAGAATCTTGTAGATTTTTTTAAATTGAGAGTTTCAAATTGATAAATATTATGTTCGCTATATTTTATTTGTAAAAACGATCTCTCTCAAAATATAATTTTTTAATTTTAATTTCTGAAAATTTAGAACCAAATTATAAACTCTTTTTGAATCGTTTTTGTTATCTTTTAGAAATACTCGTAGATAGGGTTGTAGCTCGCAACAAACTTTAGCGTGCGCGGATAACACGATATGTTATCCATAGAATAGATGTATCATAATAATGTACCACACCTTTATCGCGATAAGTTCGTTGTAAGTTATTGTCGAAAAAGGAGCAATCACCAAAGCAAACTGAGTTATCAATAAACCCATTTACAAAAGATCAAAAGGAGGACGCAGGCGACGTAATTCGTTAAGAGACCTGCGCATTATTCAATATATTATTTTACGGATGGCTTTTAAATTACTTGTTATTAGTTTTTTTACATCACTTTACATTACTTGCTATTAGTTTTTTTTTTACATCACAATGATTACGTAGACAAAAATTGTT